TGTGTGACTTTGCATCTCATCAAAACATAAATTTAAAAATATTGCTTAAAATTTCCTATTCATGATTTTGTGATTCAAAATTTGACCTAGCATTTCATAATCATAACTTAGTATCTTAAATATGACTTGGCATATAACCAGAAATGATGGCTTAGCATTTCAGAATTATATGTCGTAATTATGGGAGGCTAAATCATGCATATGAGACAGCAGAAGGCATTATTTTGAGATACTATTTCAACAGTATGAGATGCAAATTCATAAATATGATATATTATTAAAACAGCTCATGAGTATAATATAGTAATTAGAATCTCCAAAATATGGAATAGTGTTTCATAATTACTTAGCATATGTTTTTGAGGTGTTTTTTGTGTGTGACATTTCATTGTTATGGGATGCTAAGTCTTTTTTTTAATATTTTATGTCATATTTTTGATGTGCATCTTGTAATTTGTCAAAATTGGGTTTTAATAATTACACTTTACTTTTAAATATTCAAAATATTACAGAAAAGACAAGAATGACATGGAGCTTATTTACTTTGTAAGTTGAGCGACATGAAAACCTCATGTTGTTGTTTCTGGTGTGTAATGCTGATATTGTAAAATAAAAAGGAGCAGAATTGTGCTAAAATGCAGGTTTAGGAATGACCATGTGTAGCACTTTGCACTAATATTAATTGCAAATATACTGAAGCAAATTCAAAATACTTTTTGTAATGACTCACTTTAATAGAATGTGTTCTTTTCTAATTCATTTTGCTTTTCAATAACTTTCTCTTATTTTATTCTCTTCTTTTGGGGTTAGGACAAAATTACCAGAAACACGTGCAGATGTGCAATGCCTTTTTATGCAAGTTTGCATTTCATCACTACAGGCCCAATATCTGCACGTAACATTTAGCAAGTTGTATTTAACACAGAAAAAAGCAGTCATAAAAGATGTACTACACACTTTATCACCTTTTTTTTTTACTCTCCAGCACTGTGTGCAGCGAACCAACTATATGCTCAGCTGCTAATCACAGGATTATTCTGCTTAACTAAGACTATTAGGTGTTCCACATTCAGACAGTGTCTCCCTCAGGGCAGTCCTTAGAGAGGATGATCCCTTCACCACAGAACTCTCACAGATAGCTGAATACTGAGGTACCCGGGGGAGGTAGGCAGGGAAAATCATCTTGTGTGTACCAACAGGATGTCACGGTGTTCTATCAGGACACAGACGAAGAAAGAAGGACGAGCTGCAGAAAGAAGTTGGACATCTAAAGGAAAATGCACTCCAAGTGACTTCTTCTGGTACAGTAGTGTAATTACCAGGCACAGTTTTCTGATTTACTGTTTAAAAGGTCATAATTTGGGTTAACAAACCAGTTTCCACAGGCTGGTTATTTGTTGTTTATTGTCTAAATTACATTTCAATTGATTCTTTTTATCTTCCTTTGTCTCATGAACACATCTGATGATGTAGCACTGATTCCAGAGGTAAAAACACACAAAAAAAAAGTGAGGACAATGTCTCCTCTGTCTGGCTCTGCTTAACAACACCGCTCGCCCCCCGCCAGCGCCACATTTGACACCGGTTCTGTTTATCTGTTTGGAGCGACGAGCCGGCAGCAGGACTGTCTCTGATGCCATCTCTTACAAGATGCCGCTGGCACTGACTAATCCCAACGATCTGGAGGGTGGGAGCTAAAACTGTGCTGCTGCAAAGCTGACAGGGTTGCGTTTTTTAAATTTTGTTTTTCTAAGACAGTGTGGAGTTGGTGACAGCTGTCCCATTTGTTTGAAACTTCTCCAGATCTGTATCCCAGGATGGTTATAGTATCTGGACACCTGCACTAAGCTGGTGAGTATGAACTATAGGAAGAGATATGGCACTTCCAAACTGCTTCAAGTTGCAGAAATTTCTTGTTTAATTTATTTTACAAGTGTCGGTATGTTGGAGAAATGTCAGCGTTGTTTACGCAAAAGAACCACCCTCGACAGGTAAAGATTTTTAACTGGCATTTTACTTGTTTAAACTGCGTTCAGGACAGGGTGCACACATGGATACGAGAACATTGTCATCTACAGAGTTTTCTACAGCAGCGGCGTTCAGTGGGCGTACCCTCGTCCTGTGAGCTGCAGTCAGCTGCACAGACATGATGGTCGTCGACGAGTCGGCCTCCAGGTTGAGCTAAGAGGTTGTTGGTTCTCAAGGCAGGAGGGGAAAATGTTCTCGGACATCTCAGCCACACAATAAAACATTCATAACCCTTGACCGAAATCTCTCTGACAGCGCACAATTTGGTTGTATTCAAGAAAAGGTCTAACTTTGCTTTTGTTCCTATGCTTGTGCATCCCTTCAGTGCAGTCAATCATTAGGTTTGCACAATGAGGCTTGTATTCCTGAAATGTGCTGAGGCCCACGCAGTGCCAGGTCTAAACACTGGACAATAACCGCGGTCAACAAGCGGCCTCTGTTCTCTCAGGAAGTCGGGACAATCATTTTGCTGTGGTGCAGTTTGGCCTCTGAAGCTCAAAATAGCCGACTCGTTGTTTACATTGTTTGTGTCGAGCATGGGACGTTAAAAGCCTACGATTCCTTGAAGGAATGCGTGTCACTCGCTGCCGTTCCTGCCCGTTTTAGTCGGTTGCAAAATGATTTGAAGGTTTTTAGTCAGATTTTAAAAGTGACATCAATATCATGCATCATTTGGAAATGACTCTCAGCTTCTATCACATCCAATTTGATCTCAGCATCTGTAAAACATATTATGTTTATTAAGCCTTTAAGTGTTTCCTGTTGTGGGTTAGCTGTGGTGGCCATCTTGAATTGGGTTTGCTCCATAAGTTAAAGACTCTGTCCAGTGCTTCTTGACCGATTTTGCAAATAGACAGAAAAAGTTGACTCCAAATAGTTAATGGCATTTTTTTAAAGTATAGTGCAATCTGTTAGCACTTGAAATATGTGTTGGGGATCGGCCTCAGCTACTACCACACCAAATGTTACTTTAATATCTGTAAAAGTGGCTGAGTTTCAGACATTTTTTGAGCTTTGAAAGGTCAGCTGGCTGTGCATCTTTTATCAGGCTGTGCATGAACAAGCACTGATTACTTTCAGACAGTTTTATTGTGTGAATGTTTATGAAGCAGTCACACTATTGAGATCTAGTTTTCTTCCATATATTTTCCAGCATCTTTCTCGTTCCACAATTTTTGTGCTATTTCAACAAATTATAATCGAAACGTTCAGCTCATTCAGGAAAAGGGTGCTATGACTTTGGTACTGGTGCAACTTTAGCTTTTTGAATTTTTTTTGCCTTTTCTGACACTTTTTTTTTTTCATAGAAAATGAATTGAGCTCATTTTACATTCTTCATATCTTTAGATATGTTTACAACATTTTACTGCTCCTTTTACATTTTGTTCTGATTCAGCTTCTTTCAGCATCCTTCTGCAAATTTAATCTTTTTTCAGCTGCTTTCAGCTGGTTTTTTTTAGCTGTCTTGTGCTCCTTTCAGATCTGATTCTGATTTCAGATTCTGCTAACTACAACATTTTTGTGCTTCTTCTAACTGCTTTCTACTAATTTCAGCTTGTTATGTTCCTTTCAGATTATTTTTGCAAGTTACAACTCTTCCTGCTATTTCAGCTATGCTGTTTTATGCTATTTTTTTCTTTTTCAGCTAATTCCCCATTTTTTGTACTCATTTCAACTTATTTTTGCCTAAATCAGAAAAATTGGTCTCTCTCCACTTCCTTCTACTAATTTAAGCTTCTTTCTGCCTTTTTTTTTTAGCTATTTCAGCTGTTTTTTATTGCTTTTTTTGTTTGTTTTTCAGATAATTTCCAATGTTTTGTGATCATTTCTGCTTCTTTCAGCCTAACTGGGCAAACCCGTGTTCTTTCTGCTTTCTTATGCTAATTGTTCTACCTTTTCAGCTACCATTTTAACATTTTTAGCTCATTTTAGCTGTTTTCAGATAAATTCAAGTTTTTAATGTTAATTTCTGCTACTTTCAGCCTAATTAATTTATATCTGCTAATTTCAGCTTCTTATGCTCCTTTCAGGGTTTTTTCTGCTAAGCTCATCTTTTTCTGCTCTTTCAGCAACTATTTAGCTCTTTTTATGCAAATTTTAGCTTGTTCAACAAATTTCACATTTTTAACTAATTTCAGCTCTTTCCACTTCCTTCTGGTTAAGCTTCATTTTTCCTTTCAGCTACTTTTCAGCAAAAAAAAATTCTAATTTCAGCCTTTTTAACTAATTTCCTATTTTTTGCTAATTTTTGCTTATTTAAACTTAATTCAGCAAATGTGTTCTTTCTGCTTTCTTCTGCTAACTTAGGCTTGTTCTTCCATTTCAGCTACATTTAAAAAATGTCAGCTGATTTTCAGCAAGTTCTTCTGCGATAAGCAATTACACTGCATTTTCACAGGAAATGCAATTTCTCTAATTAAAATTTGAGCTATTTTGCAAACCGGCTCATAATCAGACACAAGCAAAAACAATATTGCCCCTTCGGTGATAGGTGTCACTTGTGTAACACAGTAATGAACAACAGTTGAGTGTTAGAGGAAGATAGTATTGAAGCCTAAAGCTACGAGTTTTGTGATTTACATTTGTTTGTGTATATGTTTACATGCATAAATGAGTGTTTTGGCTTCTGAAGCTGACACTTCTTGTCACAGTTTGGGCCAGAAGTTCATCAATCTGTGCCTCACTTTGAAACAGCTGAAAATAAACAATTAAAGTTAGTAGATTGTATCTGTGCTCTCAGCTCAGGTGGTTTCTGTAAATGTTTAATTTCTTCTTTCTCTTCTTTAGTGAGGGGTGGTGAAGAGCTTAACAAATCGCCTGCTGCCGTTTGCCCACCAGAGGAGAGCGTTCAGCAGGTGAAGCCAAACACCGCTCTCATTAGTCACACATGCAGTCACCTGCCACTCATTAGAGACCACCGCCGCTGCTCTGAACGTTTCTATTTCCACCCACACTCAGGAGATACTCGAGGAATGGCTCAGGCGCCGTGACTGGATGTAAGCTCGGTGGAATATGCTGCGCTGCTGGGGATGATAAGAGGAATGATCCAGACAAGTTTCAGCTTCTGCAACAGAAAGTGTCTTATTTTCAAGTAGGGATTTCTGCATGGATTTGAAGTAGTTTATGGTAATTTTTCACACGTTTTGATGAAATCTCTGAATCCATACATCTTAAAAAACAGTAATAAAGAATTGTTTTAGTGTGAACATCTCCCTCTGGCTAATTCTAAGGTCTTATTTTGCAGTTTGAGCGTCTATCTAAGTGAGCCAAACCATGGCCAGCATGGTGCTTCAGCTGCTCGGCTTCTTCCTCGGACTGGGGGGTTTTGCAGGAACTGTACTGGCAACCCTGCTCCCCCACTGGCGCATCACGGCCTTTGTGAGCTCCAACATCATCACAGCCACCGCCAGCATGAGAGGCCTGTGGATGGAGTGTGTGTGGCACAGCACGGGCATTTACCAGTGTGAGCTGTACAGATCTCAGCTGGCACTCCCACCTGACCTGCAGGTACGGCGGCACTCTGTGAAAGGTTCACCTAAGGCAGCTTGCATCATCTCAAGAAGAAACAAAAAGAAGAAAATATCCTGCTATTCATTTTGATCAATGGTTCTTATTGATTAAAATGACTAACAAAAACTAATTTCTTTATCTGCAAATGTACTAAGTGCTGAATGACTGCTGAAATTTGTCATTAACCAGAACTTCAGCTAAAAGCTAAAATGACCAAAACACTAGCTAAACACTAATTGTATCAAACGGCTAGATAAAGATGAAATGTAACAAAAATGTTGCTAAAAGCAGCAAAAAGTTACAAAAAAAGCTGAAACTGCTTTTACCGTGGAACGCATGCTCGGAAGCAGAATATGAAGAAATAAGGCTTAAGACTTTTGCACACCAGAGTTTATCACTTTTGTTTTTTGTATTTTTATAGAGTGCATTAGAATTCAAACTATAAATGTGAAACAATTTTAAATAAATTAAATGTTTCTTTAAAAAATGTAAATCAAAATGATCAAAGCTGCATTTTATTACATTAAGTGCTCACATTTCATAACTTACCTGCCTGTTTTTTTTTATTTTTTTATTTTTTAATGATTTTAAAAATAAATTATTCAAAGAAAAAAATTGTTACCTCCATCCTGTCACACCCCCCCCCCCCCCCCCCAGCTACAGAACAAAGTTTATATTTATTAATTTTGAACTGAACTGTGTTGCTGTTCTTTAGGCCGCCCGTGCTCTCATGGTGCTCTCCTGTGTCACCTCAGTCCTCACGTCTGTGGTCGCTGCGATGGGGATGAAGTGCACCCGCTTCGCTCGAGGTTCTACGATCAAATCTGCCCTGGCGCTTAGTGGGGGGACTGGTTTTCTCTGCGCTGGCCTCCTCTGCCTTATCACCGTGTCCTGGACCACCAACGACGTTGTCATGGATTTTTACGACCCCTTCTTTCCCACTGGGATGAGGTACGAGATCGGACTGGCCGTGTATCTCGGCTTCGCCTCGGCCTGCCTCAGCCTGATGGGGGGTCTGGTGCTCTGCTGGAGCAGCAGAGACGGAGGAAGGCAGAACCCTGTTCATCTGAGGATGAGTCCACCATCATCACCTCGTCTTCCTCCTGTCTCTAACACCCCTTATCCCCCTGCTCCTCTGTACGAACCCCCCCAGGTCCTGAAGGACAATCATACACCATCACTTCTCTCCCTTTCAAGCGGCGGATACAGACTCAATAACTATGTTTGAACTTGCAGAAACACTAACACATCAACTGAATCCACAAACCAGAACATCCCATTGAGCACTTTACAGAATAATGTTTGCATATATTTGATTTAAACCTATAAAACAAGTTGTACATCACCACATACTGACCAAAATTCAAATGTCACCAGTGAGAGGCTAACTGGAGTATAAACTGTGAGAGAATAATCCGAAACTGTTGTAATGCATATAAATGACCAGGAGGTGGCAGTATGTCACAGTAAAACTAAATTGACTGCTGCTAAAGTCTCAATAACAGAGGAGTAACTGGTGTCACCTTTTACTATGGCTTTTCTGATTTGGATTAACTCTCAGGAAAAACAAACATTTAAGTTATTTTTAAATAAATTAATAGAAAATGTTTGTGTCTTTAGCTCCTTTTCATTGTGTAAATCCAGATTATACTTGTCCAGACTTGATGGATTTTAACAAAACTCTCCAAAAGTAATCAAGGTTTACATCTATAAACATTTGGAGTCAACCCCATTCAAGATGGCCACCACAGCTAATCTACCTTAGCAAATGCACAAATGTAACAAAGAAGGTGTAGAAGTAGCTGAGAGTCATCCTCAACACATACCCTGAAAGCTAATGCATCTCATGAGACAAAGTTCAGTCATTTACAAGAAATCTCAGTTTAAAACACTGATATGATGGGAGGCAGGCCTTTATTTTTTTTCTTCTGATGTTTACAAACAACAACGAAAAAAACATTTGATTTAATTTTAAGAATAATTTTCTGCTGATTCGTTTTCTGAAAGCCTTTAAGCTTGAACAAACCCACTAGATCCCATGTGTCAAACGCTTGGACTGTGGGCCAAATCCGACCCTGGTCAGCATTTTATCCGGCCCCACAAGATGATATTTTAAATGCAACATATTTATATATCATTTAGACTAAAAACTGATACTTAATTTAGTGCAGACTTCTTTGTCTGATTTTTAGTGATCTTTGATTTTGATGTGGAAAGAGAAACACAGAATGTCAAAGGCGATTGATTAAATTTTTGTTGATGAAGCTGCATCCAAGAAAAGATGTTGGGTATCAGACATGAGCTAATGTATAGATTGAAATTGACCCCTGGCTTGGACCAAGTTTTAATTTTGTTCCTTTTTTGTAACTGAGTTTGACACCCCTGCACTATATGGCAACAAAGACCTGTTGACAGTCTGAAGCTGTTGGTTAAAAACTGTTTATTAAGACTGCATCTTCTGGCATCTTTTTTATTTTTTCAAAGCTTTTTCTATTATTTCCTTTTGGAAAATTCACCACTGTTGAATTTACAACTGTCTACCAGCCTAACTACTTTTGTAACACAGAGAAAATATTTCTGAAGCCTATTTGCGCATGACCCTCCAATTAGCGGTGCCCCCAGTCTGGCAGCCTGTCAGAACAAACGAAAGGACAGACGCAAGTTCTTTATTTCTACCTGTCAGGTGAATCCTTTATACGTAGAGGAGAAAATTAATATTATGAGCAAACACCGAACAGCAAAATAATTGTTTCAATAAAAAAGTATACTTCTTAAAATAACTCATCGTGATTAGATTAGATTAGATTAGATTAGATTAGATTAGATTAGATTAGATTAGAATTAGAAAATGAGTAATGTGTAAAATTTAAGGCATGACAATAGAAAAATTGTTTTCTTCCATCTTTACCAAAGTAAACATTATGTTAGGTCAAAAGGGGTGGAAAAATTCAGTAAAGAAAACCTTTGTGTTTAAAGATGTTCATTTTATATCTGAATACTTGATGCAGCTCTGATAAGTTTCAACTAAAAGAAATAAGTTCATCTTCCGCATAACAATAGCATTTTTCTCTCTTTTTAAAGTTTTGGTTCATTCCCAATGTGTAAAATGTTTTTTTTTTGTTTTTTGTTTTCATAAATGTTTTATTTTTAATGCATTTTAGGAACCCTATGTTTTTATTTGTTTTTCAACATTTGAATTTCAGTAAGATATTTTGCGAACATTTTTGATGTTTCTATATCTAAGAGAAGAAAAAAAACTTTTTAGTGGAGTGGTTAAGAATGTTACAATTGATCTGTTGTTATTTATGGTCGAATTTGTCCATTTGGAGGTTCATTTTATTAAATAGTTGGTAAAATATGTAAAGAATAACAAAGAATGACTTGGCTGCTCTTTATCCAAGCATCTTTACGCACCATGCGCTGCTGCTTCCTCATCAACTTTTACGCATAAATCCACGAAACTAAGGGGCAAAGTGTTGCTCTTGGACGCCGTGAAGTGTAAAAATCACCGTGTGCCAAACATCTTCAACATCCCCTCTGTCAACTGAGCGCTGTAAAATGACGGCGCCTTCACCACGGGGCGCGCGGAGACCTGCGCAACATCGTCAATCTGGATTGAAATGAAACCTGGCAAAAACCTGGCGTCCAGTGTTGGAAAGCTGCTCCGTGCGTCACGCCACTGTTTATTAGGGGCTATTTTCGTCCTACCCTGGAAGATTCGTCCAGCTTCTATAGCCACCCTGACATCACCCAATAAAGCCACCACTCCCATTCATCACACCCACCTCCACCCTCCTCCAGCCTACTGGCTCCGCTCCTCTCCGAGTCTGACCGACCAGCAGCAACTGGGGGTTCAGCATCATTTGGTTTTGCTCATCCTGGATGATTACATTGGCCGGTGGTACATTCATATTTTACGGGGACACTTTTTATGTTTGTTTAATTCTGCTCCTGTGATATTTATCTTCACAGGAAAGGTAAGTATCTGTTTGTTTGTTTGTTTGTTTGTTTGTTTGTTTTAAGTCGTGGCGCGCTGAGGAGCCCACAGTGACAGATGATTTAAAGTGAGATCAATAAAGCATAGGCTTCTTGGAGCTCCAGAGTCAGCAGAAAGCTGAAAAGTCGGGTTTGGAAGCGGCACCTCAGACATAAACCTCCGGACGCTCTCGGATGACTTGGACGGGTTTTGCGCGCAGTTTGGAAAGCCAAAATAGAGTTTTGCGCATTTCCAAAAAAGCACGAATATTTTTCCGAATTGTTCTCAAGGTGTTGGACTATAAAATATATAAATGGATTTTTAGAGTCATGTGGGAATTTGCTGATAAATTAGCACCAGACTGTGGAGGAGAAAATGGCACGACGCGCGTAAAATGCACTGAAAGCTTTACAGAACATGATTTCAGTTAAACATTCGACAACATTAAGTATTTTATTCTTCCTGACATTGATTCACACATGAGAAAGGACTGTTCCTCTACAAACTGCATGTGTCAAATGGATACATTATTTCTTTTCCACTCCAAGTTCATATTTTGCAACTTAACGAGGAGAAATGCGCAATTTTCTATTTAGCCCGTTTTCATTTGTTTTAGACTTTTTATTCTAACTGAATACAATATTTATGATTTCAGTTTTATAATTGCAGACATTTTTTTCAATCTGAAATGTGATTAAAATAAGATTGCATTAAAAGTGCGTACTTGTTTGTCTACTCTGTGGTTTTATGTGCCAATTTTGATAATCAGGGAAGTCTGAAACTGACATTAAAGCATAAAAAACATGTTTGAATTTATTTAACTGTGTGGAAACCAGTAATTAGATATGTAGGTGTGGTCACTCAATTTATTCATGTTCAATTCAATTCATGTTACTGTGTAGGTTCGTGCTCATCTGCTCACATAGACTACTGTTTGTGCTGCTGTTTAGTGTATTGTTTTAATTGTTTTCTATTAGTGCTTAGCGTAATTGTAGTTTATGTTTTTCTTAGTTCATATCTTAGATCTTATTACTGTTTTTCTTTTACATTTTATTTTTGGATGTAACTGGGACCCTGTGTACACAATCTCGTCTGCGAATGACAATAAAAAAACTCTGACTCTCTGACTCAGTAATTGAGATAAACAACATATTTATTACATTTAAACTAAGTTGTTTGTCTTAAATCAATTCACCAAAGTTTTATTTTTGAATTCACCAGTTTGCCTTTGATTTTTGACTTCTTGAAGTAAAGATGAGGTGTTCATGACTGTTGATTTTTAACTAAAGTCTCAGGTTTTCTCCCTGTTTCCTTTCAGTTTTCTCCATGAGTTTCCAGTTCACCTCCAGCAGCACCAGCAGCACCTGAACTCGGCGTGAAGCCGACACGAAGCGCAGGATGACGATCCACGTTGAGGGTCTTGTGGCCATCGTGCTCTTTTATGTCTTGATTCTGTTTGTCGGGATCTGGGCGGCGTGGAAGAACAAGAACTCCGGAGTTGGTGATGGTGGGGAGCGGAGCGAGAGTATCATGGTCGGGGGCAGGGACATCGGATTGTTTGTTGGGGGGTTCACCATGACAGGTGAGGTTAAGGACTAGCCATACGGTTTCTATTCACTAATGGTCCTACAGACCAATTTCAATGCCTTTACTATTTATAAACATGAATTTCTCTCAGTATTTTACACACTGTAGCCACGGACACTGTTTATTGCTTTCTGCAATAAACCAACTGGATTTTGAAAGTCTTATGCTTTTTAAAGCAGGTTTGTCTTTAAAGGTATACTTTTTCTTTCTCTTTTCATGTTGTCAGCCACCTGGGTAGGTGGGGGCTACATCAACGGCACTGCAGAGTATGTTTACTTGCCAGACTACGGCCTGGCCTGGGCACAGGCACCCTTTGGTTACGCTCTCAGCCTGGTTGTAGGTGGGAATCTCTTCTTATCTTTGTTCAGATGCACACATTATTATTTTTTATTAAACTAGACTTTATATTCATGACTTTATATTTAGATCTCTCTTGTAAATGAGTCCCCGAGACCCAACGGGATTAACCTGTATAAATAAAGGTTGATTGAAAAATAAAATTGGATTGCAGTGGTTGCTTGGGTACTTCTTTGTTTCAATTGTTACACCAAATAAGAATTATAAAAAGCTGAAAACTGTGAAATTCACAGCTTTGAGCAGCATCTAAAATCAATTTAAGGTCGTTCAGTGCAAGTTTTTGTATCTATTTAAATACCACTTTATTTATAAAGCACTTAAAACAGCAACAAGGCCAACCAAAGTGCTGTACAGCAAAAACAAACAAGCAAAGGACACAGAATAAAAACATAGATCCAAATGGAAAAAAGATGACTAACATTATAAAATACAGACAGGTTAAAAACAAATCACAGTCAAAAGCCAGGGAATAAAAGTGGGTTTTTAAGCGAGACTTAAAAACAGTTAGAGAGGGAACCTGCCTGACATGTAGTGGTAACTCATTCCACAGTATTGGACCTGCAACAGAGAAGGCCCTGTCACCTCTGAGATTAAGACAGGTTCCTGGAACCAATGGAAACATCTGATCTGCTGACCTCAGAGTGTTGTGGGACATATGGCTGCAGCAGATCAGCAAGATAAGAGAGGGCAGAACTGTCCAGAGATTTAAAGGATTTTGAAATGAATTTGAACGTGAACCTGAAGCCACTGCAGGGAGGCCAGAACTGGATGATTGATAGAATGATAGAATATACTTGACATATGATAAAGCAGTGACAGAAACACATGCAGCCACACCCTTTATAATGGGCTCTATGGTTTACATACAGACCAGCAGTGTGTATCTGTTTTATTTAGTGTTTCTACAGTCTTAAAATGTCTGGAAAGGTATAGAGTTCTCAGTTTATTTTTCAGGTCTGAATAAGTACATTTGAACACAAAGTGTGGAAAATTCATTGTTTTTCCAAGCATATTTCTAGAACATTTTCAAGAAAGAGGCATATTTTTGACATCAACTGTATGTACAAGATGATATTTAGTCATTATAATGTAGACCTTGTCTTCGTTTACCACACCAAACCACAAAAATAATGTCTTAGCCGTCAGTATTTTGTTTCATTATTGATAACCCCTGGTATCTAACCAGGTTCTATAAATGTTTGTGCCACAGGTATTAAAATTAGATGTTGTTTTATGACATGTTTGCTGCACAGTCCACAGCCCCACCGTATGGTGGCATGTCTGCTGATAAAACTTTGAACCGCATCTTTCTTTCTATGGTATCACTTTGCTCAATATACGTATGTTCCCTTTATGTAATCTTTCAGCCACAAGGTAGCCCCCCCTTTTTTTTCCTGTTGCTCATATTTTGTGATCTAGTTTGTCAAAATGGAAGATGTGTTTGTTTGGGTTTCAACAAACTGTGTCTGACTTGCCTCAGGTGGCTTTTTCTTTGCCAAACCCATGCGGTCTCGTGGCTACGTCACCATGCTGGATCCCTTCCAGCAGCTGTATGGGAAAAGGATGGGGGGGCTGCTCTTCATCCCGGCACTCATGGGAGAAATCTTCTGGTCTGCAGCCATTTTGTCTGCCTTAGGTAGGCAACCATCGACTGGGACCAGCACCTTATATGCTTATAGCTGCTTTTCAATAAATCAGATGTTTCACAGATTTAAGTGCTTTTTTTTTTTACTCAGGTGCTACACTCAGCGTGATAGTGGACATCAACATCAACATGTCTGTGGTGATCTCCGCACTTATAGCCATTTTTTACACTCTCGTCGGAGGACTTTATTCCGTTGCTTACACAGATGTGGTCCAGCTGTTCTGCATCTTTGTGGGCTTGGTGCGTAAACTTAATCCAAGTGATATTTAGCTGACAAAAGCTGTCAAATTATGAACCATGTTGGAGCGAAAAAGACAAATATCAAATTGGCATAATGATTACATTCTGATGTTTTCTCTTCATAGTGGATCAGTGTGCCTTTTGCTCTTTCCAATCCTGCCGTGTCAGACATCAGTGTTTCAGCCAAGGAAGCGATCTATCAGTCACCCTGGCTGGGTAAGATCGAGCCTAACGACAAATGGCTCTGGGCAGACAACTTCTTTTTGCTGGTAAGCATGATCTTATTATGAAAAAACAATTTGAATATTGATGTAGTCCAAGAAGTGTTATTTTATTTTATTTTATTTAGACTGATGAATTAGTTGGTTCCGAGTTTGTATTTACTTTGATGTTTCTGTTTCTAGATGTTGGGGGGGATTCCCTGGCAGGTCTATTTTCAACGGGTTCTTTCTGCCTCTTCAGCTACCTACGCTCAGGTTCTCTCCTTCCTGGCTGCCTTCGGCTGCTTGGTCATGGCCGTCCCCTCGGTCCTGATAGGAGCCATTGGAGCTTCAACGGGTAAATACGCAACACACACATTGTCAACATGTTTGAAATGAGAAGAAAAGAGGGCTGAATGGGCAATAGTTACAAAATGATGCACTGTGTTGGGTCATTGTAAATACATTTTTGTGTTTTTAAATCTGCAATTTTTTTAAAGCAAATCCATGAATGATGTACCGATACACAGACAGTTAATAAAACATCATAAGACGATCAAAACATCCAGGAATCTGATCCTTTATTTAAGCAGGAAGATGTGATCAAAGACAGCACAACTCCTTTTTTGCCTGTTTAAATCCCAGCAGCTTTTTTCTTTCTTTTTTTATATTTAAAAGTAGGTTCATAAAATATCTGGAGAGTAAACAGCAGATGGATGCTGTGATGATACCCAGAGAAGAGAGCCATCAGACCATTTCAGTGAATATTGCATCTGAAGAAAAGCTAATTAATCTGGCTCTTCTGCTGTGATTTTTATACATAAACATCAGTAATCAACCGTGGCTTATGAGTATCTAGGGAAGGTAAATGATTGTGTGCACCTCTGGAAAAGAAAGAATATGGAGAAATTGTATAAAAAGGAAAGGTTTGCCAAAGAACAAGTTTTGCTATTAGTGATATTAGGGAAACAAATGATCTCCTTATTGTTCATAGGAAGGATTAGGAAACAGGTCAATTTGAGAAGATTTGCAGTCCTACATGTCTACAGAGATTAAATACTCTCAAAGTTAAAGGGTGAGATTCATTCCTTTAAGGAATGCTGGACCTTTAATATTTTAGCACTCTTATTTATTTTGTTTTTTCCATTTTTTTAATTAACAGAAGAGAATTGTATTGATAATCTGTATTGTATTCCCACCCACAAACAACACAAAGTCCCTTTGTTTTTTATGCAACTAAAAGCCATGTCTCCACAGGCAGCCACATTAAAAAAGTGAAACTTTTTTGTCTTAAGAGCTAAAAGGATTAGAACTAAAACTGTAAATGCAGAATTCAGATTTATGCAGTTTAGCCAAGAACACATTGTGCCAAGTACAATCAGCTTTAATTATTGTAGGCAGTGCTAGATCAGTTCAAACACTTTGGACAGTACTGATTACACAATGTCATTTCTGAATTTCTTAATTTCTTTACCAGACTGGAACCAAACTACGTATGGTTCTCTCCCTCCAAAGGATAAGGATGAGTCAGACATGATCCTCCCAATTGTGCTTCAGCACCTATGCCCTCCCTACATCTCCTTCTTCGGTCTGGGAGCAGTGTCGGCTGCTGTCATGTCGTCAGCAGACTCATCCATACTGTCTGCCAGCTCCATGTTTGCCAGAAACATTTATCAGCTCGCTTTCCGGCAGTCGGTAAGAGACGCAGCGTTATCAGCACGCAGTTGAAGAGAGCATCAACAGTTCATTCTGCTTCTGTCTTCATTATGTAATCCATTTATTTTCCTCCTCCAGGCCTCAGATCGTGAGATTGTTTGGGTGATGCGCATCACCATCTTTGTTTTTGGAGCTCTTGCCACAGCGATGGCTTTGTTAACTGGATCGGTGTACGGCCTGTGGTATCTGAGCTCTGACCTCGTCTACGTAATCATTTTCCCTCAGCTTCTCAGCGTGTTGTTCATCAAAGGCACCAATACCTATGGCTCTGTGGCAGGCTATGTCTTTGGTCTTTTGCTACGCATTGGTGGAGGAGAACCATACCTGAAACTCCCCCCGTTTATCTATTACCCTGGCTGGGTGACAGCAGAGAAGATCCACCACCTCACTGGTGACGTAGAGTACTTTGTCCAGCAGAGATTCCCATTCAAGACTATGTCCATGTTGGCATCCTTCTTGGCAAATGTGGCCTTCTCTTATATGACAAAGTACATATTTGAGAGCGGTATGCTGTCATACAAGTACGACTTCCTGGATGCTGTGGTGTCCAAGCATAGCAAGGAGATCATGGACAAGGCAACACTAGTGAGCAACCACGATAACATCATTCTTTCAGAGATGGCTCCCGTCAAGCAAGCTCTTGGTGCATCAATCGCTGGGACCTTCACCAACACCGAGATCCTCAGTGATGACTGCGAATCAAGTCCAGAGTCTTTTCACAGTGAAAACTAGACAATAAAGGCACAAAGACAACTCTGAACAAAGAATGTGAAAAGAATGGATCGGTCAAAGAGGCATCGGCTCTCTTCAGGAAACTTGTTACTGCCACACTGTGAGCCAAATCAGCAGAAATCTTCTGTGGCTTCCAAGTGACTCCACAGGTTAGTTTTATGACTGTGACATGGTGCCTCATTCGTTTTCGTTTCTTTCCTGTATAATAATACAAACTGACTCTAAATCAGCTGGGTGACGTACACTTGTAGTTGTGTTTTCTGACCATGACTCTGTGAATCTACACCCATTTTAATTTTAGTGCTGCTACTGTGATCAGAGAATTGAAAAAATGGTGTCTTCAAGGATTTGAGTAGACCATCAGAAAAAGTGCAATAGTGCTTTGTTATTGTGTGTCTGTCTAATTATTCTATATGTATGTTGTTGTACATGCACATACAATCATGGAAAAATAAACTCCCCCCTTTGTCAATTTTAGGGTTTTTATGTATCAGAACATAAGAAAAAAAAATTGATGTTGACCAAGTTCTGAATGTATTCGTCTAATTTTACATGTGCAAAAACACACACCATGCCACTCTGTATGAAATGATAATGAACACTAAATGAAAAAGTTCTGTGTGAAAACTTAATTTCCTGATACATTAGCTTGAGGAACCATCGTTAGCTGTAACAATGTGAAGTCATCATTTTCTGGATGACTTTCAGTCTCTCACATGGTTGTGGAGAATTTCTGTCCCACTCTTCTGTGCAACTTTGCTTTACTTCCTTGAGGTTTAAAGACATTAGTTTCGGCACAGCTTTCTCGATGTCCCATCATATGAGTTGGGTTGAGGTCTGGATATTGACTTTATTGTTGCAAATGCCTTGATTGTTTTTCTTTTCAGCCATTCTGTTTTAGATTTACTGCTATGTTTAGGCTCATCGTCTTGTAACTTCATGACCTATTTTGGTCCTCAACTCTCTCATCACCGTGCAACTATTGGTATAAGGTGTTTGTGTTGATGTGCTGCGGTTGGTTTTTACCAAACATGACACTGCATTATGGCAAAGTACTTATTTTAAGCTCATCTGCCCACAAGACATTGTTCTAACAGTCTTACGGTTCATTCAGCTTCCTCTTTGCAAACCTAAGTAGTGCTGGCGTGTTCTTTTTAGATAGGAAATGCTTTCAGGGTGAAATTTCTGGGACATCTACGCCAGGGAAGACTGTCTGAAATGCTTTCTGCTGATCAATCTTGTTTTCACTGTAGAATGGTGGACTCCAAGTTGATTGATAAATGTCTTTTTACAGATTGATGGACAGCAACAGTTGCCTCTCTAAGATAGTTGCTGTTGTCTTTCCATCTTGGTAATGTGTTAACACACACCTGTATGCTCCAAAGCAACAAATAGCTCAAACTCCTGCATTTATTGAGGTGGTCACATTGATAATGTCCACTTAATTATGGAAGCAGCAAGAGCGGATAATAATAATGACATAGTGGAATTTGTTGTATGTTTTTGTACGCTTGAGGTTGATTTTTATTATTATTTTAGGATTTGGTAAAGATTAAATCATTTTTATTTATGCTTGAAAACTCTAAACTTGAAAGAAGATGCACTTTTTTTCTCATCTATAAAATGAATGCTTAAAAACGACATGGTTTAAAGCCAATGGTCCTGGAAATTTTGGCAGACTTTAAATTTGAGGTTTGCATAAGGAAAGTTTATTAAATAGAGCAATAATACTTGAAGAATTTATCTTGAACAAATAGATATGTTGAGCAGTCTGCCATTATTGGTTTGAAGTAGAAAACCAGTCAAGTTTTTTACGTTCTTTACTCACCTCATTTTTTCCTTTCTCTTGTTGACACAGTGATAAAGAAATTGATGTTTAATTAATATAAATGTAATATTACCACCCTCTTAAACTGACCAAACAAATGTGAAAATTTGTCAAAATTCCACATTGATTTGAGTTAGAAAGTGTTTGAACTTTTACTGCCCTTAAACCTTTATTTCTGGAGCATGCATAGCCCAGGATGTGGTCGTAGAGTCAAAATCCAACTTGAAAAACAAAATTTGGGGTACTGTGGTAGCAGCCCAACTACAGCTGAAGAGACAACAACCCTATTGAATATAATTTTAAAAATGTAAGGTGCAGTGAGTTGTACCATAGTTTTATTAAGTATTTTGTACTCTCTAAAGGTAATATCTGACTGCCATTCTACAATATATTCTCTGATATTTAAAAACATAATGATTCTGCTCATTTGGATAATTATCTTTCACTAGAATAAACTGTAGGTTTAAAATAAACAAAGATGCCCATTTTTTGTGTTGTAATCAGAGCTCTTTGATTTGTGTTATGGCAGTCAGTCCTGTTGTGCATGCATGTTAGTGCATGTAAGGTCCTGCTACAGTCTGGAGCAATTAGACTTCCACATTTTGCTCATTTGAATAAACTTGTTTTTATGTTAGGAGCTTCTTGAGAAGAGCTGGAAGAAGAGTCAACTTGTTTTTTTGTTGTTTTCCAAAATAGAGATGATTTTTGATCTCTTTTAATATGTTTTGTTTCTTTCTTTTTGGATTCTGATGCTCCTCTTCGCCTTAAATAAAAATGAGCATTTATAATTTCAATATCCATATTAGACATTAAAGGTGTGGGTACAACTTAAAATGTGTGCAGCTGAAATGTTAAAAAAAAAAAAAGATTGTTTATTTTCCAGACAATCATTAAGTTTCCATTAATTTATGGGCATTCTGAAATTGAATTTGCAGACTTTGTTTCCTTTCATATTAAGATAAGAAAGATGAAATCAATGCACATTTACAGCAGACTACAAAACATCCACTGCAATAAAGCACATGCAAATATAATTTTGTAAGAATTTTATAAATGAATGGAATCTAATATCGGCCTGGAAAATATGAAAACAAGTGAAAAAAAGACTTTTAGATGGTGCAAAACATTTATCAATCTTCTTGTCCTTAGATATTTTGAAATCGGTGTCTGTGTGTGTTTGATGGTTCGTTCGCTCATCTTAAAACTTTATTGACCAGCCAGTAGGTTCACAGTGAACACAAATGATTGTTTCTCCCAGGGTAGTGTTCGTATTACCGGTCATTATTGATCCAAGCGTGCAGTGGATGAGCTCTCAGGACATTTAATTAATGCTGCACAGTTTTTTTTTAACTGATGGTTCTGAGAATTTGTTGAGTTATACAATAATAAAAAGCAAGTAATTCTTATTATCAGCTGAGCACACGTTAAAAATCTGATGATGAGCTTGTGATTGATCTGATTGTCACAAATCTAGAAGTTTAACCCACTGATTCAAACAGGTATTTACTTTTCACATGATCTCTTACAGCAGTTTTAACTGTTACTATTTTCTGATTGACAGCACTGCTTATTTCTTCTTAGTATTCCTGAAGTTTGTTGGCTTAATATAGAATAAATAAGTGGAGTTCCCTTAATTGATAAAGCTTGGCTGGAAAAATGTGTAAAAACAAGTTCCAAAAGTTGCCTTTTTTAAATTTCTTTGTTTAAACATTGTTTGAGAATTTCTCTACATGTTCTAACCTTGTTTTTTAAAGAATTTACACCTATTATGACTAAAACATATTTTAAAATATAAAAGGTTGTCAAAAACGGCAAGAATTTTTTTTAACTATGTTTGCTTGAGGATGTTTTGAGTGGATAAAGAGGAATTGAAAACAACTTTTAGTCCACTGAAAATGAGTGATGACAGAACCATCATCTGTTTCTGCTTCAAGAGTAAAAATTGATCCAACAAAAACTGACATAAAGTAATAAATGCATTCTGCCCCTTTTCAAATTGGTTGCTTCTCAGTTCATTCCTTCAAACCAGTTAATAGAAACACGTCTAACATTTTGGTCTGATTTAACTGTTTTATTTGACTTCTTTCCATGATCTGATGCCATAAATGCAACTCAAAGCCCATGTCATATTTACTGAGAAGAAAACAGAAGATACATGTTCAAATCATTCTTAAAGTTAACCTGCAAATATTTTGTACGCTGAATGCCAATCCTGACCACAAACAGAAATGTCGACTAAAACATGGTTGTGGTGTTTGTGGTCCCCAAAAATGGGATCCAGTCCTAATATAGATCATGATACACCAAGTATCATTGTTAATTATATTTTTATTGTTAACGGTTATACAAAAGCAAAAACAATGGCCATAAATGGGTAAAATGAATAATTTAATAGTTGATAAGATGAGTAATGGTTGTATACTTCAACCAGCAACAGATGGGATCACAAGTGTCTTCCTCTTTTATTTTGTGGTTTGAAAGTTGAAAAATTTGGCAGCCACTGCTTTAAAGTATCCAAATGGCCTTGTGATGAGTTTACCAAAGATGGATTATTAAAAGAAAGTGATGTCATGTTTGTTTGTAGCCATAACACTAAAAAAGACTAAAGGTAGACTTGACCCAGCCATCATAACTGTGTAAATGTTGTCACCCAAACAGCCGCACCTTCAAACCCATGACTGCAGATCTGACGTTTGTTCCATGTGTCAGGAATTATATTTTGGTTATATCTGTGAATGTAAGCCTTCCTCCCTGTTAGCTGAGTGTGTTGTTCACGTACAAACCTGTATACACAGAAAAGAGTCAGTGTCAGCTGCTGGACTGACTTATCGTTGCTCCATGTCATTAAAAATGATGTCGTGTTTTTGTGTTATAAATGTAAATACATACAGTATATAAAGCAAAGGAACAAATCAGTCCACTTTAAATGAAAAGTTGACAATATTTGTCTATTTATTTATTTATTTATTCATGCAGTGTCTAAAATAGTATAATTGTAAATGTGAGGTAATTTGAATAAATGCAATGAACTTAGTGCAGCACTGGTTGGTCTTTTTATGTTTTAAAATATACAGATTATATTTTTATGTGTTTGCAAATATTTTTTGTGTGTACTAATATTACTAATGCACTCATGTATTTGTGTGTGTGTGTGTGTGGTGGGGGTCTTTATGATGTGGGAGTTTAATGGAAAGACTTAATCTTCGGTCTT